TGTCAGGTTCCCCCCCTTAGATCCCCCCCCACCTCAAAAAAAAAAAAGGGAGGGGGGAGTGTTCCCCACTTTGCCGGGAAGACGCCGTGCCGGCACGGCCGGCTGCAAGGAAGGGGCTTGTGTCCTGGCAGCCCCGAGGCTGCTCCCCCCCCCGCCCCGGCCCCCTGGGGAGCGACAGACCCCAGGGTTGGGGTTTGCATGGTGGGGGGGGGGAGGTCACTGCTGCTGGCTTTTTTTTTGTGTTTCTGGTTGTATTTTTTTTTTTTCTGGCAGCCCCAGAGCAGGAGTTCAGTTGCAGGTTAGCCCAGAAGGAATTAATTAATTCTAACACCATCCTCTAAATCCCCACCCAGTAATTTTGCAGCTGATGATAAATATATACTGAGAACAAACAAACAAACAAAAAAAGGAACTTAAAAATAAATAACCATTGCGGCTGCAGACACAGCCTGTCCTGGGTATCTTTAGTGAGAGACATTCTCCATGGGCGATGGCAGCCTGACGGTGCAACCCTCCATTCTCCTCCCAGCACGTGCCGCCAGTGTCTCAGTCCCTGTAGTGTGTGGTTTGAATTTCCCGGTGGGACCGATGCCGTGCCGCCTTCGCCCCAGCATGGGATCTCCTCCTCGGAGAAAGATAGAAAAAGAAAAGGCGAAGGTGTCAGGTAGTGTCCAGCGAGGGCAGGGACAGCTGGGAACGGCGACGTCCCCATCTGGGTCATTTTTCTCTGCTCTCCTTCCCTTCCCTCCATCGCCCTGGGGACACGGCAGGGTCCCTCCGCTCAGGGGAGGCGAATCGGGCATCTGGGGAAGAGAGTCCGGGAGCAGGAAACTGTTTTGGGGAAAAAAAAGATTTGAATATAACCCTTTGTCCTGAAGTCCGAGGTTGGTTTCTTAAATCGTTGTGTGGAGTGGGAAGAGAAAAAAGCTACGCCAGAGCCTCCCCTCGACACCGAGCGGCCCTGAGGACCTGCAAGAGAGAGGAGAGAGAGAGAGACGATGGGGTCCCCGGACCTCTGGGATGCTCCCAGGGCTGTCCCCAACCCCTGTCCCCGCTCACCTGGGGTCACAGGGTCTCCTGCCCTGCATCCTGGCTGGCCTCGAGGAGCAGTTCCTCCAGCTCCTGCTCGTTCTTGGAGCAGCTCAGCTCTGCAAGCAAACGGCTCACCATTTCCTTCCCCTGCTCGCCTTCCCGGTTCCGCCCCCCCCCAAACTGCATTAGTGGTTAGCCCGACTGCTAACGAAGAGGCTCAATGAGCTTCCCGCAGGGCTCATTAACTTCACCTCGTTCAGGAGCCTAATTAAGAAGCACCTCAAAGAACGAAGCTCAACGAGATTCGCTTTGGGTTAAAAATTCCTCGGGAAAAGCCTCCCCCAACCACAAATTACCATACCCGCAGGCATCCCATCAGGAAAGCAGAAGGGGATTTAAGTACCAGGAAGACGCTGGCATGGGGAATGGCTCTGCACTCCTCCCGGGCTCCACCACACTCGATTTTGGGAGAGCGCAGCCGGAGGGAGGCTCCTGGGATTGAGGGGGAGTTCGGGTTTTGGAGCTCTTACCGTGCTCAGCAGTGCAGCTCCCCATTTTGCCATCGCCATCTGAGGATGCCTCCGGCAGCGCTCGCGCAAAATCCGTCTTCAGCCCGTTGGGGAGGGGAGTGTCATGGGCTGAGCTCTCGCAGACCGCAGGGTCACCCCGCTTGGGGTCGGAACCGATGCTCGGCACTGCTGGTGGTGTTGCCAAGCCGGCAGCGGCTTCAGGAACTGTTCCATTCGCCCGGGGTGCCAGGAGTTCAGGTTTTGTGGCCAGAGCCAGGTTCTGGGACTCAACGGATTTTGCAAGGGCAGTGGTGTCCTCCCTTGGGCGCGCAGCATTGGTGGCTCGCTCCGGCAGGCTCTCCACTCGCGTCACCACGAAGATTTTATGGCCTCGCCCGGGACTGGAAACCGAAATCCTTCTCTCGTTTCCTTGGGAGGGTGTGGAGGCCGGAGAGATGGCAGGACTCCCCACGCTGGCATCGTGCTGCGATTCCTCAGCGATGTGCAGGGGGGGCGGCCGATCCCTCGGCTTCTCCAGGGACAGCAGCGGCTGGGGTGCGGAAGCACCGTCAGTGGAGTTGGGGCTTTTCAGCAGCGTTTTGCTCAAGTCCTTTGTCTCTAACCCAGCATCCGTCTCCTCATCTGTGTCCGAATCAGAGTCCGTCATGTTGTTTCCGTCATCGCCATCCTCCGCTGGCTCCGTGTCCCCATTCTCCGAGGCCGTTGGGGTCTCCCTGGCTTCTTCCCCCTCTTCCGGAGCAGAGGTAGCACTGCCGTCTCGGCTGTCCTCTACTGGATCCTCCTCCAGAGGCTCCGTCACGGTGATCTCCGGCATCGAGGCTGACTGCTGCAGCTTCTGTTCCTTCTCCTCCTTCTCTTTGGCCAGGATGAAGTTGCGCTTGCAGCCATTCTGGATCTCGGCCAGGAGAGCCTTCTGGGTTTCGATGAAACTTTTGACCTGTGAGGGAAGAGAAACCATTGGTCATTTGGAACATTTGGAAATCAGCCATCTGGGAACAATCGCCTCCACGTTTATTTTCCAGCCAGGCACACTGTAACACCATGGTTTTTAACTCCACCCTTAATACTTCCCCAGGAAACAATTAAATTGCCTGAGAAATGAGTTCCCCAAGAGCTTCTTCTCAAAGCAATCACCACCAGGATCATGGGATTCCCATCCTGGGGGATGGTCAACACTCAACAGAGCAGGACCCTGAGCGATGGGTGCTGGCTGGCCCAGAGACCTCCAGAAATTTTCCTCCCTGACCCAAGCTGCGGTGTCGGGGCATGTTCAGCACACCCTCAGGGCTGCTGGCTGGGAAGCAGCCGTTATCCTACGGGCCAACCTTTGCCCATAGGCTGGGCAGGAATTAATTTCAGCTGAAAACCAGGAAAGCAGCAGAGCTGAGCGGAAGCCCGGAGGCGTCACCCTTGAGGATGGTGTTTTCCTGCCAGAGGGGGGCTCAACGAGACCCCCCCAAAAAGGCAAAAGGGGGGGCAGGTGAGTGGGTGCATTACCTACCGACTCCTTCTTGGGCTCCCTGTCCAAGTCGAGGCGCAGCAGCGAGTGGTTGACCTTCAGAGCCAGTGACAACGCCATGAGGCCACCTGTCTTGATCTCATTTTCTCGCAGGTCCAGGCGAAGGAGCCGTGGGCTCTCCGCGATGAATTCCGCCACTGCCACAGCACCTGCGAAGGACAGGAGAGCCGCCAGTGATGGCGACGAATAAGCTGTGAAACCGCCGGTCCCCTGATGGTGCTCCTTGGGGTTGCATCTAGCGGAGCTCAGTATTTTGGGAGGGATGAGGGATGTCAGCAGGAGTTGGGTGCCAGCTCTCAGGCACCCTGTGTGCTGAGCAAAAAGGTTTCCATGGGGTGTAGAAGATGCCAGAGTGGAGTGAGGTGGCCCTGGACAGGCTGACTGTGGCATTTTGGTTAGAGCCGTGCTGTGCCCCATGCCCAAGACCCCATGCAGCCGTGGGGCTGAGCTGAGCTGGACCAAGGTACCTTCTCAAGGACCAGAGTGGACCCCACATGCTGTTCTAAGAGCAAGGGAAGCTCTGCAGAGCCTAAAGAGCTTTCGGCAGGTGAGGTGCCAGGTGAACTGGGGCCGCAGTCAGCAAAGCTGGCGAGCGCCAGCCTCTGCTCACCTTCGCAAGTCAGTTTGGTGGACGCCAAGCCCAGGCGAAGGACAGAGCGGTTCCCGATCAGCCCATTCTTCAGGTTGCGGACACCTTCATTCCCAATGGGATTGTGGCCCAGGTTCAAGGTCTCCAGGCTCTGTGTGTGAGGCTGTGGATACCCAGGGGAAAAAAAAAGCTTGAGGCAGACGGGACGGCGGGTCCGTCGCAAACCCGAGTGGGTTTAATTCATGGCTGTTCCTCTAACCACACCGCCGAGCCTGGGGATGCCCGAGCAGCAGTAGAGGAGGGAGGACAAGGGACAGGTTCTCCTCCGATGCAGCACCGGGGGCAAATCGTGCCGGTGCGCTCCTACCACTGCCCAGATCCAAGCCCGATGGTCATGGGAGAGACATCTCTCTGGGAGCAAAGCTGAGCGCCCAATGGTAAGCCATCACCCCCAGGAAGGTAACAAGATCTACTCACCAGCGTCATCCCCAGATAGGCCATGCCAGTGTGAGTCAGTTGGTTGTTCCACAAAACCAGAGTGACCAGCCCTTTCCGCTGCTCCTTCAGACCTTCACAGATGTACGCCAAGCCTGGAAAAACAGCCGGGGGGGTCAGCCCTCCCCTGCCGGCACGGATCCTGCCGGCTCTAACAGCACTTTACTTGCTTCCTCCGATCCATCCCTCTGCTCAGGCGCTGCCCGATCCTGGGCAGGACAGACAGCGACGGAGAAAAACCACGGCATCGTTACGCCAAGCTCCGGCACTGGCAGCGTCTCTGAACACTGTCCTCCCTCCAAACCCCTTCCCCCAGCTGCTCGATTTGACCTTGGCTGCAGACGAAATGCCTCGCTCCCCTGTGTGCAAACAGGCAATTAAACCTCTTGGTGCATAAAATTAATTAGCGCTATGCCTCTGGAGCAGCAGGGTACGTAAACCCTGGGGAGGCAATCAGAGGCATGGGGACATCGGGAGCTCAGGGTGACCCCCTGCCTGCTCCTCGGCCTGCCCACAGCTTGGGGAGACACAGGATGGCACCCGCTCACAGGCAGAGGGTGGTGGGTAGGGTAGGTGCTCCTTCTTTTGGGTCACCATCTCCCTTCTTCGCCAGATACGGTGTTATGGAGCTGTTTGCAGAGATGGATCCTCCACCGCTCTGTACACCTTCCTGGCCCAATCCTGCCCAAGCTGAGGGCAGGCACCATTTTAAATCACTGCAAACATATTTATTTGATAAACACACAGCACCCGAAAGGCTGCAATGCTGTGGAAACCCACGGCAATGCCCAGCAAGCGACTTCCAACATGAAGAGCCCCAGCGCCGCGCATTATTAAGCACCCAAAGATGCAAGGGACGTGGCAGCTGACCTGGAAGGCAGCAAATTAATATTTGCACCTTAGGGTGGGACCCATCTGGGAGCATGAGTGGCCACAACAGCACTGGTGACATCCGACTTGGTCATGCTCGGCTATCTTTATATCCAACCCAAAGGCAGCCACCACAGCTCGTGCGGAGCAAGCGTGGCTCCTCCACCAAACTGCAGCGCTTGGCCAAGTAATCAGCATCACCGACCTGAACCAGCCAGGACTGAAGTCTGGGTTGGGATTATTTTGCAATTCGTGGGTTGATTTGGCTGCTCAGTTTGGCTCCAGGGAGCAAGGAGGAGAAAAAACAGATGGCAGCAAGAGATGGAGGGAGCCAAAAGACGTGACTGAGGCATGAGGCATCCCCATCTCTCCCTATGCTCAGGAGCTGCCATGCACCTCGCAGCCTGGCCCGGGAAGCAAACAAAGTTTCCCTAAGGATCTCAGCTTTAAAAACCTGAGAGGTTTACCTTGCTGAAATCCTTCTGACATGTTGAAGTTGCTCTGTGCACTTCTACTGCTTTGGCTCAGCTTGGGGGCAGCGCTGGCAGCCCCTTGAGCTCTATGCCCTGCAGCCAAGTTCCTTACCAACTTAAACCTGGGTCAAAACTCCAGGAAACTGGGGTTCTGCCTGAAGGAGCAGCGAGGGGCCCTCACCTGAGTCCAGGATGTGGTTGTTCCGCAGGTCAAGTATCTGTATGCAGCTGTTGAACTTCAGCAGGTTGCCGAGCTGAGCCGAATCCTGCAGCCCATTCAGCTTATTATCGGCCAGGTACAGCTCCCGCAGGTTCATGTTCATCTTCAAAGCCGTGGCTGAAAAGGCGGAAAACTGGCAACTCAACCCGCAACCCGTGCCGGGACGGCTTGGAGAAGAGGTGCGGGCTCGGGAACATCCTGGCTACACCGTTATGAGCGCTTGTGCCCATCCGAGCCCTAAGCTCTGCCACAAAACGCGTGGCCTCTGGCACAAGCTCATGGCTGCATCAGCACCTGCCACAGTTGCTGTTGGGACATGGGCTGAAAGCCTCAGTCAGATTTCTGAGGTGTATGGCCAGCAGCAGGATCCCACGCAAGCCCCTTTATGCCCTCCCACCTGCAGAGGGAAGTGGCGGCAGCTCGTGCCGGCACAAAGGGGCTGCGCTTTCCTAGTCGGAACAGGTATCAATTCAGGCAGGCCACGTGCCCTTGCCACCACATCGCCTGCTTCCAACTAAGCCAACCAAATAAACAATTAAACCCCAGAAACACTCCCCTGCCTGAACCCTTAGCTCATTGCTGTTATCACAACACCGCCATTAGCTCCAACCGGGCTATGATTTATCACTAATTCATTAGCTTAATGACAGGGGCCACCCAGAACTGTCTTACACCCACTGCCCGCAGGCTGGGCTGGCACAGAAACACTGGATCTCCCACCTGGGGCAGATGCATGGGGCTCTGCCATGCGTCGGCAAGGGCATGCCAGCAGTGACCACCCCGAGACCTCGCTGCGCATCACCAGGAGGGCAAGCCCAGCATTGGCACCGCTCTGTCCCGTGCAGCCGTCATCTCGCCATGTTTTGGGATACAGGTGGGTGCTGCAGATGCCTGAGCTCGGTGTCCGTTCTCCAGTGACTCACCTAGCAGCATGAGCGGGCGTCCCGAAAGGCTGGCGTTCTCCAGGTGCAGGATGATCAAGCTGCTGCTGATGCGGAGGGCGCGTGCCACGAAGGGTGCCGAGTGGTCCAGCAAGGGTGTGTTTCGGGCATCCAGGTACTGGAGGCAGTTTGTCTGGGAGGAAGACATGAGAGGGATCAGTGCTTGGCCCCATGCAGTCTCAGCCGCTGTGGTTTTTTGGCTGTTTTTCTAGGTCGGGTTTAAGGCCAAGCTCTTTTACAGGCCAAGTCCCATCCTGGCTACTAACGCTCACGTAAGAGCTCCTGGGATGACTTATGCCCATCCGAATCATCATTCTGGTCACCCCACAGGCTTCAGATAAGAGGCAAAGAGCCAGGAGGAACCACTCAAGATAATCCCGTGTGCCAGGACAGCCTACACCAAGCTTCACGCTCGAACCACACAATTCCAGATAAACACCTTATCTCCCGGAGAATTGCTTCTGCACCGAGTCTGCTGTCACCCTTGAGCTACAGCACCGGGGAGGATGCGCTTCAGGTGACTACAGCAGCATCACATTCTCAAAAGAAAAGCTTCCCTTGGCCTTACACATCTGAGGATGTGCTGCCCTGAGCTCTCTGGATCCGGGGTCTGGGAAGGCATCGAGACATGTGTCCCTTGTCTGGGGTTTGCCTCCAAGCCCTAAAATACTTCTCTAGCTTCGCACATGCCATCTATTCCTGCTCGAGATGTACGGCATGCCAATGGCCTCTGTTTGGGCTGATTTACCATTCTGGGTGCTACTGTAAGCCCTTTCACACCTCCAGATTCTCCTTCGCCTACCCAGAAACTAAGAGCCCCAACGTCCCAAAAAATATCTCGAGCTCCTTCACCGCACCCGTGTACATGCAGCTGGTTTTAAACCATCATTACGGGGTCAGCCAGCACTGTGGGGTGACATTTGGTTTCTCCAAAACATGGTGTGGGCATTGCCTGCACCACGCAAGCTCCAGTTCCCAATATCAGCCCCAGCGCAAAGACACTTGCACAGGGCAGGGAACGCTACCGGGACCCTGGCTTTCCAACTGGAGTTGTGCAACACACCAGCAGTGTTGGGTGAAACATCAGCAGCGCTGCAATTAAAATTAGCAGGTTGAGAGGTAATTGCGGATTGAGGGTGGTTTTGCGCCGCGCCCCGAGTGGGGAGCACGAGACACTGCCTCCTCTGCACTTGGCTTTCAGAGCGAACTCAAGCGCCGAACAATGAGGTTAATTAGCTCTGCGAAAGCCAAACCCCGGCGCTAGTCATCCTGCTGTAAAGATAATGAATACCCAGCTTGAGAGGCTGACCTTGCGAGCACACCACTAATAACAGCCTGCTCTTCTTTTTTTGCTGGGATCTACATTTCTATTTTCTATGCTCCGGGTGCTCATCGAGGCATTAGACAGGTGGGAAGGGTGATTTTTTTTTTCCTTGCCTCTGAGCCTTGGATAACCAGGATATTCTGAACCAGGTGATTTTCTGGACAGGTGAGCACAAAACCACACCTCTGGTCTTGGGAGTCTTTTGAAAGACTCACCCCAGACCACCTGTGTGGCTGCAGAGACTTAAAAGCAGGTGCCGAAAATATTCACGAGGGAGCACAAACCTTCCTCATCATGTGGGCAGCTGCCTGCCAGCCTCGGGTGCCGATGTGTTTATTAAAGGAGATGTTGAGGTGCGTTGCCGACTCATAATATTCAATCATATCAAATAACGCTGAGGCGCCCTGCAAAACAAAGGCAGATGGAAAAGCTACAATACGCAGGCAGGCAGAGGCTGAGCGGGGTTTGAGAGTCAAAAAAAAAAAAAAAAAAAAAGAGGTTTTGCTGTGCTACGATGCAAGTGGCTTGGGCAGAAGCCGGCTCCTCCAGACGCCTCTCGCACGATGTCTCGTCACCGCTCTGGTGGTCTTTAAATTCTTGCAGACAAGGTCCATGACCCCCACCCAAGGCAGCCCAGGCAACAAAACCCCTTCCTTCTACCTCAAGCACAAACAAATCGCACCTCAGGTGACGATTCCACCTGTCCCTGTGCCTGCTGGCACCGTGGCACTTTGCACGTCCCTGTGCCAGCCCTGCAGCAGCCCGGGGTGCTCCCCCGGCCACAGCACAGCCAGGTCCTCCCTGGGTCTCTCCAGCCTCTTCGAGGGATTCGCTGCAGATTTTCTGTGCCCCCCCGGCAAAAAAAGGCATCTTGCCATATTCCCCATGTCCCTACCACCAGGCATGTGCTCAGGAACTGTCACTGGGGCAGATGGGGACCCAGCAAAGCCTGGGATGGGATGATGGCTCCGGTGCAGCCATTCCCTCCCATAGGCTGTGCCGGCAGAGCTGCCTCCCCAAGGTAAAGCCTGAGGGCAAAGATTTCCACTAGCGAGCCCAACACAGGCATCTTGTGGAGGGATTCAACCCCTCCCCTGCCCCTCTTGGAACCGGGAGAGAAAGCAAACTCAGCTGGAGCAGGTTACGGCACCAGGGACACACAGGCACTTGAATGACGCTTCTGAGGACACGGGAAAATGATTTGGTTTGGGGTTTTTTCCTGGATATTGAGCCTGAGCTGAGGCTGGGCTACTGGCTTGGTGCCTGTCTGCTCCCTGCTGGGTTATCCAGCTCCGCATGCAGCAGTGACACTTTCCCAGCCAAGAAACCACTCAATAATCCAATCGGGCTAATTAAAAAAAAAAAAAAAAAAAAAGTGTAAAACCCAAGACTTATAGCAGGGTTAGGAGTGAAAGGGATTAGCAGAGCAGGACTTGTGCCTGTGAAACGTCTAAAGCTCCTACGGCAGAAGCGGAACAATTTGCTTAATTACATAATGAGTCTCTTCGGAGAAAATTAGCTGAAAGATATGCTGGAGCGGGCAGAGAAGAGCCACAAAAGTGCTGCAAGGCTTCCAGAAAAAAAATATGCGGAGAGACCTGGAGGACTGGAAAACACCAGCAGAAAGGCAAACAAGAGAAGGAACAGGTCTTCAGGGAACAACAGGACTTTCTGCTGGAAAGCGGATGCTTATTCGCAGGAAATGAGAAGGAGAAGAATCTGGGTGACTAAGTCCCTGGCGTGACGCACCCGGCAGAAAAAGGCTATTGATACTGAATGAATCGGAGGGACAGGGACAGGAGTGGGAGGTCTCAGGGCTGCGGGGAGCCGGCATTAACTTTCCGCGGCTGTTTTTCACCCCTGGCAGCAGGGAGACACGTTGGACACCTAGTGCCCAGCAGATGGTCTTGCTCTACCGCAACCGGTCTTGCTCTACTGCAACAGGAAGAGAAAGGTGTAAAGCGCCGAGGTCTGCAATCCCTCTGCCTGCACTGTCCAGCTCTGAAGCCACGGGATACGTTTAATTATTAATGTGTAATTGTTCCTCCTGCAAGATAACGAGTGGAATGAAGCACGGGATCATTTTATGGCCAAAGATGTCATGAGCTGAGCCAGCCTGTCCCTGCTCTATGGCCCCACGTCCCTTGCCAGGTTGCGGTGCTGTCAGGGGACTCATCCATCCCCCGAACAGCCCTGTCCTGGGGCTGTGGCCCCCCTGGCAGTCCAACAGGATTGTGCCCCCAGTGCCCAAGTCAGGTGGGATCCTGGCTGGTTGCATTGGCATGGCCCCGGGATGGGACAGGGTCAGCAAGAAACTGTCGTGGCTCAGAGCCAGTGCCGTCAGAGGGTCTGATCAGGAGCCACCGTCCAAGTCACGTTTTTTTTCCCCTCTTCGTATCTGATGTGGGAAGTGGCCCCGAGAAGCTTGTGACTGCTGAGCGTTCCCAAAGCGCTGCTCGAACAGGGAAAATCGGGGAAAAAAGCATCAAGGACTTCCAAGCAAAGGGACAAGATATGTCTGAAGCGGGGTTCTGGATAGGGATGGACGATGTGGGAAAAACAAGAGCCTTGAAGAGGCGAGGACTGAAAGGGGATGCTCCCAGGCAAGGGGAACTCAGAATCGGAGCTGGCTAAAGTAATTTTTAACCACTTCCTTAATTTTTAACCTCCTCCGCTTACCCGCTGGGACCTGAACTCAGGGCCCCAGGCATTGCGAGGGAGGAAGAAGGCAAGCCAGGACGGGATGTGCAGAAGGGAGCCTGAACTTCGTCCTCAGCCCCGAAAAGCCGTCTGAGAGCTACCCACAATTCCCTCAGTTTTCAGAACAGCTTTTATAATATGTATTTAAAAATGCCTCAGAGCTTCGTGGCCACCTGGCCTTCAGAGCGAGCAGTCAACTTCTTCCTTTTGGAGCAGCAAATGCTGCAGACACAATTTAGGTCTGCTTATTTAGCAGACCTAAATAAGAGCGTGGTTACGAAGGGAATGGGTATGGCAACACAGTACAGCCCCCCAAAAATAAGTCAGTGCCCAGGAGTTAAGGACTGACCACAAAACCCGTGAGGTTTGCATTAGCTGTGAAACAGGAACAAGAAGCCAGGAGAGGTCATGACCACTTACATCTTCATCCAAGCTCGTTTGCTCCAAATCGACAATTTTGAACTGGACCCGCTTGAAAATTTCTTCCAGCGCCTCGCAGGCTTTGTAATCCAGCTTCTCCCCTGGGGAAAGAGCAAAATAAGGTGAATTTGGGTGCTTCAGCACGTAACACGTACAGCTGTGAGCTTGAGAGCCCCAAACCACAGGACAGAGAACACGTGGAAAGGTGACTTTCTCCCCCATTCAGAGGCAGCCCATCTTACGAACAACCTGCCTGAAGGGCAATTCAAATCCAATATTGGGCATTCATGTTGATTTATTCTTGTGTGTCTGGCCCAGCAGTGGAAAACATCACCTCAGATGAGTATTTCTCATTAACAGGCAGGGATCAAGTCATCGCAGGGAGCCCCAAAAGCCACGCTGGGGCTCGCCACCAGTGCCACAAGCTGGGAGAGCGATCCACAGGCAGACTTCGGAAAGGATGTCTCTCGCTCGATTACATGCAGCGATCTTGGAGGATTTGTGGAATCCACCTAAACACCAGCGTGGTTGCTCCCCCAACACAGACCAGCCACAGCGGCAATGCTTTCACCACCTAAAAGTCACTGAAACCTGGGATTTCTGTCTCCTCAGTGGGCAAAGAGCCATCTTCCCAACAAGCCAGCCCCTCACCAGCTTCGGTTCATCTGGAATGACATTATGAGCATCTCCGCTGACAAATTAATGGCTGGCTGATTGCTCCTTTTGCTACATAAAAGCACCAGAGAGTCGAAATTAAATCCCTGCATGCGCATCGTAAATACACACACTGTTTTGCTGCCTCTGACAAATTAAATTATTCACATTTCAATTTAGGGGAGTGCTGGCACAAGCTGCTTCAAGAACATTTCCCAAGACTTTGGGCTTTTTACTTACTTATTTTTTTTTCCTTATTTCCTTGGATCATCCTTGCCAGCTCTGCACAGCAGCAAGTCTCTGAGGCCTGAGGGGTTGGCCAGCCCACAGACGAGCCATGACAGCTCATCCCCACTGGCTTACGGGGCTGTGATTCTCCCCATAGCACTGCACAAGCTACTTCTGGTTGAAAAAGGAGGAAGTTTTACCCCAATAAGCATCAGTGCTGGCTGCTTTTAGACACCGTGTCAATTGCCAGCAGGTGATTTTGCCAGGCAAACCAAATTTGGAGAGGGGAGGACATTCCACATGGAGGTGGAAGCTCTGCCTTTCCTTCTAAACGCTGGTAGATCCTGTCCCCTCCCTGTACGAAGAACAATGCAATGGCAGCCAGGTCTCGCGCACCACTGCCTGCAACCCCATTGATCCCCTCCAAAACATCGAAAGCCCAAAATGCAGCAGCAAATGGTTGCCCGCTGGGGTCTCTGGCAGCCCCACCAACCTGTGACCCACCAGCTGGTATTAGCCTCGTCAACGAAGGCGACAGCAAGGGGGAACCGGCCCGTGCTTTGCAAATAGATCGCCTGTTCCATGCTGGAGCAAAGCCACGGGCTGATCTCACCCTGCGGAGCTGGGAATTCACTCAACAAGACCAGAGCGAGCAGTGATCCCTCATCGGCTCCCTCTGATGTCTCAAAGCGGGAAGAGGCAATGTCTGACACCAGCTTGAGTGAAAAAGCAGTTTAAAATAAACCCAGAGCTTTGTTTCTGTCGTAATAACTATCGTGACGGGGGACATGGCGCAGGCGGCTGAACGCCAGGTGGGAAATGGTCAAGCAAAGCAAGTGCTGTGGAGGGGGACTACAAACCCATCGCTGACGGCTGAGTCTGGCCGTGCCGGCATTATATCACATATAACGGCATAAAGCAAGCAGTAGCCAGGCTTCTGCATTGCTTGGGGTCTTCTGAGAACCCCCATTTCTAGGGGAAGGAGGGACACAGGCTCCAGTTGCCCAGCCAGCTGACTGCAGGATTTGCAAGAAGTCAAGAAAAAAGCCCTGTCTGACAAAACTGAGTCCAAATGATGGCAATGGGGCCTGTAAAAGATTTATTTTGGGGGGACATTTGGGCAAGCTTGCATTGTTACTCCTCCAGCAGCACGTCTGCCCTCCTCCAGGCGAATCAGCTCAGGATACAGACACCCCGGCTCTCCGTGCAGCGAGGTTATTTCCTTGTGGTTCCCCAGCCTTCAGATTTCTCCCCCACAAAACTGAATAAGTGACAAAAGGCACCAAATGCTACGGATTAAACCCCAAGGCTGCAGCCCCTGCAGATGGCTTCTGTCCCTAGAGCCAAGCTGGATCTTGCCAGAGCAAACAACATCCACTCATGCACCCAATGAGTTTCATTGGGAAACCAGGACAGCCTGGGCAGGACCTCAGCAAGAGGCAGACGCTGCCAGGACAACCCAGGGTTGAGAGGAACACCATCAACACCATCGCTCTGCAAAGGAAGAATGCTCCGGCCAACGTTGACCATTCCATCTTTTCCCCGGCTGTGTTGTGGAAGCATCCGTGCTATGTGACTGTTCTTGCTGCCAGTCTCCCAGGTTGGTTTTGGGAGGTATGCCCCAGCGCAGAGGGGGAGAAGAGGCTCTTTAGGAAGGGAAGGAGACCAGAAGAAGGCAAGAGGCAGCGAGCTGCTGTGAGAAGAACCCCCCACTCGTAAAATATTTGCCTAGCAGAGACCTTGCAGGGAAGCAAAGGTGACCTTCTTCCTCTCCTTCCTGGAGCTATGGGAGATACTCCATAAAAGCCGTTGTTCAAAAAGATGTTTGCAGTAAGAAGAATTAACTGGAACGCCTTTCCAATTTTCCCATTGTGCAAGGAGTTTTGAGACATCTGTTGGAAAAATATTCTGGCAAACCTGCTTTGGCTCAGCTCTAACTCATGCCCCAAACGAGCCGTTTTGGGCAGGGGGGTATGCGGACAGTGCTTGGAGATGGTGAGGGACAGTCCGCTGTTCGAGGGGCTGTTGAAGCTATTCTGTTGCTTTTTTGGTGCTCCTTGACCACGACATTAATACCCCTCGTATAGAAACACCTCTGGTACTTAGTTTTCTGCTTGTGCTGGGCTTAAGGCTCTCTCCTGCTCTAGCCTGCAAGAGCTCCAGGTGGGACCATGACTGCAGCAAGAGCTGTACTAATGGAGTGAAACACCAGGACTGCCCAGAAGAAAAATAAAATCCCCTGGTGATGGAAAAGGGGCGTACCTTTCAGATCTAAGCAGTCTATCCTGGGAGCCAGATCTTTAAATTCCTGCAAAAGAAAAAGCAGCATTTCATACTCAGGAGGAGGAGGAGGAAGGCGAGGGTGGGAAGGGGAGGGGAATTAACGCATTAGAATAACAAAGTTAACATGACAAGTTGGGCAAATCCTCTCCCAAACAAAGAGAGGGTATGGGAACTCTCAGCCCGAAGTTCACTCGAAATCAAAGCTGCCACCTACGGCACTTTGCAGGCTGGATCCATGCAAGTCATGGGGAAACCTGGTGACCCTCCCCGGGACAAGATCTTGGAGCTCTACAAGGAAGAGTGGCTAATGAAGATGAGGTTCTGTCTCTGCACATGGAGGCACTGGAGCTGCGCGGGGAAGGCACAGCACGTGAAAAAGCAAAAATATTCCCTCCCAGGTCAAGGGAAAAGCTTTAAACATCATGCTCCAGCATGCTGCTCTCAGGCCTGAGGATTTAAATGGGACTTTTATTCGCCCCACGTCAGCAGGGAAAACCACAGCCCTCATCGCGGTCTCCCCGCGGGCTTCCCTCCCCTGACCACATGTGCAGATTTCCATTTAAAACAACATCTGAGGTATAAACCGCTTTGCAAACAAGCCCATTCAAGTCTCGTCTCCTGGCTTGAAGGTGGGATGGGAAGCAAGGGGCAGCGGGGACATCAAAGCCCACCTCCAGCAAGGTTGGAGCTACCCCCTGCACAGCAGATGCAGCTTCAGCAAGGAAAAACAGGGTCTGGCAGCACGTTAAATTACACATAATATTGTCCTAGCAAACTCCTTCGCTTTTGTGCTCGGCAGCAAGTTTCATCTGTCCAGAAACCTGCTCATGCTATTTAAACAGGAATCTTCGTTCCCGCCTGATGCACCAGCGACTGTAAAAATCTATGGCAAGTCGTGGAATAAAGGGTTGTATTTGATCATTTGGTGCTGGGACAACACCTGCACCAGCTCTACCTGTATCTGTTTCAGTAGTTTGGGTATTTGCTTGCAGTTCAGCTTCTGGCAGGCTTGCTTGTAGGCGGTCATGATTTCATCGACAGTCACGTTCTGGGCTGAAAAGGTACAGGGTAAGAATTAAAAGTTACAGTTGTATTTGCCCGAACTGACACATCCACATTCCCCCATTGGATGCCACTATCCACCAGGATTTACACCCGGCAGAAGAGCCTGGCAAGGAGATTACAAGGATTAAGGATGTTCAAAGGCGATGGAGCGAAGCAAAACCTGAGCCAGGCTTGCTCGAACATGTCTATGGGAGCAAGCCCTCTCCTGCTTCGGCAGAAAAAGGGGCCAGAGAAGCGCAGTCAGCACCTCCGGCCTCCTCCAGCCACAATTTCTGGAGCAGAAAAAGCTTTTAAAAAGAGTCACGGGACGACAAACCACAACCCCCCCCTCACCTCAGCAGGCTGCTGTGGTGCTTAATAAATAGCGCCGCCAAATACATTCCTATTGCTTTTAGTTTCGCTCAACTTCTGGGTTTTTGCTTAATCGCTTTGCGATTGCCGTGTGGAGCCAGACAAGGCACATCCACCCCCAAGTATAACTCCAGATTTTCCCTAATCAGCTTCTGGAGACAGCCAGAGCAGTGTGTGAAGGACTCAGTTGGGGGGCGTGGATCAGCCTGAGTCAACGAGACATCAGCTAAAAGCTCCCAGAGTTGTCACCTTCTACTAAATACATCCTCGAAATTCGGCTCCTTGTTTGGAAGCCACAGGAGGGACACTTTCCTGCCGTCACCGCCGCTGAGCTCGGCTCCAAGCCGCCAAGTGGCATTTACTCACCGCTTCTGCCTTCCCTGAATCATGGGTAATGCTGCTGCTCCAGATGCCGGGGAAGGCGACGCGGGCGGCCGCGGAATCATTAGCCACGTGAGGCGATGCCCACCTCCGCTTTTGGCGTGATTTCGGTTCAGCGATCAGCCCAAACAAACACTAAAGCCATCCCCAGTCAGAAGATGATCTGGTGAAACCAGATTCCCCAGGAACTTCATCTGGCAGAGCACGAAGCAACCCCCCTCCTCCGGCTCCCATGCCCGAGGATTACAACACCCAGAGAGCTCAATAAAAACCTAAATGCTCTACCAGCTGCAAAACAAACAAACAAAAAAATAAAGGGCTATTTTAATCTTTTTCCTGTTCAATACAAACCCATTGGGCTTCTCTGCAGTGGGATGGGGTCCAAGCAACACATGGCAGAGGGAACGCTGTGCCCCAGCTCAGCTGCACCACCCAAACCCCATGGTTTTGGCGGTTTTTAGCCCTACGACGCTTCCCAGGCCACCGTGGTGAGGTTTGCAGGGACAGCTAACACCCAGCCAAGAAAAGCAGCAAAGGTTTAAATACACCCCAAGTGAGCGCTTAACTAGGCGAGACCTAAGAACGGCTTTCACGCCCCAAAAGACAGAAAACATTTGTTCCTCTGAAGTGACACGTGGATGTGTCGGGTTGCCAATTCCCCAGGAGCTGAAGAAGGTGCCATGGAGGAAAATCCACTGAGGGCAAGCAAGCCCCGTGTCTAAAAAGAGAGAAGTACTCAGGTTAGCGAGGGGATGAGCAGCGCACTGTGATGTTTCTGATCCCACCTGCCACAGGAACGCTTTCCTCAAAAAAAAAACCAAGCATGATTTTAGAAAAGCGAGGAGAGTAAAGGAGTTGCTGCTGTCCTAAGGCGGACGAGCATCCTGGGAACACAAGGACATGGGGCAATCCAAGAGTCTGCGAACCTGGCTCCAAAATGTCCTGGCTGAAGGATTTGTCCTGAGATCGGAACTCAGGCATGCTTTGCTAATTTGTTTTTCATTAGTTCCTGGCTTTGGTCTGCCCTCTCCTGGGTGGAAGTCCTAAATTTTAACAACCCTCATTGCTGTAGGACGGAGATTTGCTTCTGCTTCCCTCTGCGCAAGTCTCGGCACATCTCCGTTCCCACCTCGTGGTGCTCGCCGAGCAGGAAGAAGTTAACATGTCTCGTGATCTTCTTGAGCTACTTCCAACGTCCTTCACACGCAGATGCACACCAAGAAGCTCACTGTCCCCTATGCTGAGAGCCATGCTGGTGCCGTGGTCCAGGAGGATCGGAGCAACTCCCTGTTCCCAAAGAACATCCTGGGATGGTTTCATCCATGTGGTTAAACGCTCACAAGCGCATCCAGATCACTGGTGGGAACCTTTCACCTGCTACTCCCAGGTCTCCTTCGGGCTTCACCACCAGTGCCGAGTCTGTTCCCAACTCCCGGGGAAGCACCCAGAGTTCCTGCATCTGTCAGAAGCTGGAAAACACCTGGGGTTTACCCCCCCGGAGCCACAACCACTTGCCTAACCGTACGGGCAAGACCAAGAACACCGGTGAGCCTGGCGCCCACTCTGTACGTCCCCGTAACCAGCAATCCCTGTGGCATGTCTGGCATGAGATCACCCAGATGGCCCATAACTCTTCCGCAGTGGCTCCGGATCATCTTGGTGGGGCTGCTGGTAGGAGCAGTTAGGATTTGATCTTGGTTTTGCTCTTGCGAAGATTTAAGGAGGCTAAACGCCAACACCGAGCAGCGGTTCTTCTTCCTGCAAGGCTCAGGCTTTGCTCTGAGGCCACCTCACTCTTCTGAAACTCAGATCCACTAAAAACGTTCTTACTTTTGCCCGAACAATGCATCCTTAGGATAAGGACCGAGACCCTCTGAGAGAATTTCCTCACTAGAAATCAGGGGTTTTAATTAAAAAGGATCTTCACGCTGGTTTTTAGAGCATGCCATCCCTCTTTGTTTCTCTTCTCCCCCTTCACAAAGGGCTGCCCTCCCACCTGTTTGTGGTAACGAAGCCTGCAAGTCAATATTAACATTTCCTGTTTGAGCTCTGTCTTGTGGCTCACCAGCAAATATTTGCCGTGTCTGTAATATCCACCTTCAAAAAACCCTTGAAATTTCTCGGAAAAGCCTTTTTTTTGACAGAGCAGGGCAGTTACACGAGGGCTGAAGCCGATCCCGTAGCACATGGTCTTCAGCAGCTCTGGAGCTGGTAGAAGGGCTTTATGCCTCTGATGCCATCCGTAAAACAAAGCAGAGCTGTTTGGCAAACAAATTTGAGAAAATACATATTGACACACAGTTGGGCAGGTGACTTGAGTGAGCAAAGTGCAGCTCACTCCTGGCTTGGGTGGAATTACCCGTAGCTTCAAAGATTTGGTTTTAGAAATAACAGGCTGGAGACAGTGCAGGTTTCCATTCGGAACATCCTTGACCATGTCTTGGATCTCTCCTTCCTTAAAGTCTGCCCCCAAAATAATCATGTTAAAGGACAAAATGAGATGGAAACCAGAACTCGTCTCATGGTGCTTCAGGTCCCCCCAGAAGAACAGTGGCTGTACAAGACTTCAACGTATTTCCCTAATGAAGAACTAAGATTTATTACCCAAGTGATGACCGGCTTTGACCCCACTCACGTCCCGACTCCCTCTGCCATTTTAAAACCCTGTGCTAATATCCTCAATCAGAGTTAACTACCTTATCGATTAATCTCTTTATTATTGCTTGGAGGATTAAGATCCAAAGAGCAATATCGAGGGTATTTCCCAACCTCCTGTGTAGCTCAATGTGTTTCATCCACTAATTTTCTACTAATTTTAGCCCACAGCTCCTGGCAGAGCGGCCGCCGGCTTCACCGGGACCTGCTCCAGCGACGGCATGGGCACTGGAAAACACAAACCACAGCCGCTCAGCTGACGAGACACCGGGAGAAAGCCTGGAAAATTCAGAAAAAAACCCCAGAAAGGGTCATGGATAAAGTTTAAAATGCAAATAACGCTTCTTCTTGCGAAAAACATTGTTTCAGTGCCCCCTAACTGCTCTGCCCATGGCAGGTTTTGCTTCACCCGCTCCTCTGTACCACGCCCAAGCCCGAAACAACACGACACCAAAGCAAACAGGTCGTTATTTATTAACAGCCAGCATTAGCCGCCGGCTGCAGCCAGCTGGTCTTCTCAGCCTCTGTGTCATGGAAGAGAAAAGCTGATTTTTCACATGTTCATGCTGCATTTTGCTTAGTTTTGCTCCCTGCGCTTGCTTCAAGCCCATGTCCTGGGAGGCAGAGTGTAAGGAAAAGGAGGCGGAAGCCGATGTAGGCAGCAGGGAGCTGCTCAAGGAGTACGTCCCAAAATCCGATCAGGCCAGGAAAAGGCAGTGACTTCAATTTGATCTAAATCAAACTATTTACCTCCATCCCCAAGGTCACCAAATGAGATCTCTTAACTCTTTGCCTCTGCTTGGGAGCATCCTGCTGCTGCTTCTTCTCCCAGGCGAGGCTTCACGTCCCGTCTTCCCGTGCAAGGGGAACAGCAGCTGCAAGAAAATTATTTTCTTCTCTAGGGAAGTATAAAAAAACCCCAAACCCAGCAGAGGAGTTTGCTGGCAATCAAGTGGCTCCTTCGCTCTCGGTCTGGTGGCACCCGATGCAGGGAGAGGAAGGCAGTGCCAGAGTCACCCCGACACGCGGATTTGCTCTTTCTCCAGCAAAGGGCACCGGATCCCGCATTTTGGGGGAACAGCACCTGCCAGCTAGGTGGGTTATGGAGCTTCTCCACCTGATGGCCACGGGCAGAGGCATGAGCCAGCTCTCCCCGGGGTCTCTCCTGCATTGGCAGACACCCTGACGCCTGCAGCGACCCAGGCTTCCTCACTGCCATGATGCTCAGCATCGATGCCGGTCCAAACCGAACACACCAAGACCTTGAACACTTGGGATGGCAGGACTTCACCCACACAACGCCTCTGGGTTTGTTTTTTTTTTAAACCTGGGTTTCCACACCCACTCCTTCACGACACTGCTGTGGTTTCCTGGCTGTATCCTGGGGAATCAGATGAAGACGCCTTTCCCCTCCTGTGCTTTCCATTGGAGACAGCAGGAGATGCAACTTGGCGGCAGGGGAAGCCTCTGACTCCTCTCCCCGAGTGCAGGGGTCCTGAGATTTCTAACAAAGCAGTTGGCGAAGCTGTAGGAAGCGGGGAAAGGAAACAAAGGGGCACTTTTTCCCCCTCATCTTGTGCTCTGGCTCATTTCCCAATGAATAACGTGGCACCCACAAACCAAGCGCCCGCGGGGCACCGGTGCAGCAGGGAAGCCTGGCAAGCTGAGGGAGACAGATGGCAGCAGCATCTGGCCCTAAAACCTCCCCTCTCCATGTATATCTGGCACATATCCCGTCCTAGCCGACCCCTTGGACCTGCATGGGCTTAAATCAAGACAGGAATTGTTGGAGAACAAGGTGGGAAAAAACAGGATGAGCTTTCAGGTCTTCTGGGTTCAACCCGGCACAGCGTCTCTGTTGGCGGAGGTATGAGGCCGGCAGAGACCCACCGGCCACACAGCCGCCAAAGGGAAGGAGCAAAGAGGAAGGTCAGAGCGGAAAGCGTTGTAATTTAACCTGACATGGATGCGGGTGAGGTGGCAGAGAGGCCGGTACTGCAGCCTGGCAATAAAGAATTAAAGGTAGAAATAATTAATGCTAATGGGCAAGGTTTCACAGAAAGGAAGGCTGACGAATGGAACCTGACACAGGTCTGTAGGGAGGCCATTTATCTAGGACCTCAGGTAGCTCTGCCGGATCAGGATGCTTTAAAGGTGCAACAGTCCCAAAGGGAAAAAAAAAGCTAAAAAAAGAGAAATATTAAAAAAAAAACCACAACGGTACTTGATTCAGTAAGAAACATGATGGTATAAAGCTACCAACTGCCTCCTGGTGTACAAGCAGGGTGTTTCTGTGAGAGGCGAGGGAACTGATGACATTGGGATATCGTCAGTTTTAAAAATAACCAAGTGTATACCTTGTGGGCTGACAAACCGGGAGCAGACGGACGCACTGCCCGTTAAACAATGCTAACGATGCTCTAAACACGCCTCCTCCTTTGCCTTGTGTAGCGCAAAGCTTTGCAATAAACCATACGCCTTCTTTACCTTCCTGTTTCAAGCCCTCGAGCACTTCGGGGTGGCAAGCGCACCAGAGAGGAGGATCCAAACCAACGCACGAGTGGCGTCGTCAAGCCCCATGCCGTGTGCTGCCTGGCAAAACCGGCCCTGCCGGTACCAGCTGGGAAGGAGACCTTGGATTCAAGTAGCCAGAAGGAAGTTAAACAAGCAGAGGCGCGTCCACTGGAGTAATTTTACCCAATGAATGATAAATGGGAGATAAATAAAGCCCCGAATAAAAATAGTTGTTATGCACACGTGAGAGGAAGAATAAAAGTCGCGTCACAGGCAATGTGCTCCTGAAGTCAAGGGAAAGGCAGGTGCCAGATGCCGGCTCTGCTCTGAATGATGCCAGCTTCCACAGTGTCACAACTATCAGCAACGTATGGGATTCCTCTCTAATTAGAGAGGGAAAATTTGCTTTCTGGGCTTTCACACCAGGCGTCTCCAGGGGCTGAAGTTTGAGGTTAAATAGTTTGAAAGAAAAGGTCCCCAACACCTGAAGGGCGTGATGCCTTTGGGGAAAGCCTCTAGCTCCAAGCCAGCACGCCCAGAGCCTCAGGAAAGGGGAGCTCGGATGAGGAATATGTCCCTCCCGGGCTCCCTCTGGGGAGAGTGGCTTGTCTGAGAGTGCTGAACCATGTTTGGTTTTCTGGAGCAGCAGAGAAGGGCTTGGGGGACGAGCCCCAGGTTTGCTTTACCAGGCAAACGTCATGTCTTCATCCAGAGCAGTATCAGAGCGGTGGAAATTTCATATTAACAGAGCTGGCAGGATATATAAACAACAAGAACATGTTAGCGAGCAGTTTTTCTCCACTGCTGGAGATATTTCATGGAGGCATCTGGCTACCAGTCATCGCCTTGGGATGAGCCAGCTATCACAGAGCAATGAAACCAGAATTAATTGGTGATACATAGCAAGATCTAGCACCTTTTAGGTCACGTCTGACATCTGCGTGGTGAAACTGGAACGGGTCTCGTCACCCAAGGAGGTGTGCGACTGGGAAAAACTTGGGGAAAAACCCAATTTCTGGCTCACGACGCAGTAAAAATGAAAATAAGGGGCTGTTTTGTTCCCAGAAAGGAGGTGTGGCTGCCGGTTACCAATGATTTTTGGTGGCAGGTGCTGCAGCGGTTCAGTTTGGGACAGAGAAATGCAACTTGCGGTGCAGCAGCCCGCGAAGAGCTTTTGGGATAGCCGTGCTTGTACTGTAGCACAATGTCCTTTACCAGCTGGTTCCTGTGTTTCGGTACAGTATAAAGAATGTCCCGAAATTGGCAGCCAGCCAGATCATGCAATTGTTGGGAGCCCTGGAGGCATCCTGCTCCAAACCCCCTCACCCAGGCCAGCAGAGGGGCTGTGAGCGGAGTCCCCAATGGGTTTGGCACCCACTGGCAGCAGATCCAGGAATGCCAGGAGAACGGGCGCTGGCGTTTCGCTGGACCCTCTGTTCTGGCCATGCCTCTCATCCGGGGACATTTCCTTGGAACACGACAGCCCTCTGCGTGCAGTGCTGAGCTCCCTGCATTGCTGGAGGGGCTGGGGCGGATGCCAGCATCTGGAAATGTTACCGAAACCGCTAGGACCTTGGAGGGATGGAGCTCTGGCTTGTCTCCTTTCTCCTCCCTTGTACAGCCCAAGCTTTGGTAATGCTTTGGGGAAGAGCCACTGGTTTCTCCATGCTGCTGCTGCAGGACCATCACCCTCCTCAATGGCAGTGGGTGCCACAAACCCCCGCCAGAAAGCCAGGTGCCAAGCAGGGCTCTCCCATTGCACCAGCAGAACCCAACCATCATTGCTGTTTCTGCTGCACCAGCTCAGGGTGACAAAACCGGGAGATGCCCTCCAGGCTGAAGCCGACAAGGGCTGCCTCACCGATTCGCCTCCGTGGCTTTACCGGGCTGGTGGTTTTGGCAGTTCCCAAAGGCTGTGTTTGGGCACCCGACCCTGGGTGCCTTCGGCTGGTGGGGGGGTGTCTCTCCCCCAGGCCCACAGCGGGGACCTCTGCTCCGGTCTCCTCAGTACCGGCCCGGTCCCAACCCCGGACCCCCCCAACTCGAGGAGCCAACCCGGTATCCAAAACCGGTATCCCCACCCCCACTCTCGGCCCCCGGTTACCGTGTCTCCAGGGGTCCTTGGGCTCCACCGCCCCGGAGACGATATCCTCGTCGGAGGGAAATGTTACCCGTTTAGCACCAGGCCGCAACCGCCCGTCTTCGTTTCCCTGAGCCGCCCCAGAGGGGGAAACCTCAACGGGCGGCGGGGTTTCGTTACCGGGTTCGGGGGGGACGGTCAGCGGTCCACTACCCTGTCCCGGCACCTCCATGGCGGAGTTCTCCCTCCTCACCGCAGCCCCGGGGGCATCGCCCGGAGCTGAGGAGCCGCTACGCGGCGGGGAGGGAAGGGAAGAACGGGAACGGCCACCGCGGACCGGAGCGGAGCGGAGCCGCCGCCGCCGCCGCCGCCACCCGCCAGCACCGCAGCGGCCTGCGGCTCCGCCGCCGCACTTTCGCCACAGCGGCGGGGAAGGGAGGAAGGAGAAGCGGGGAAGTGAAATGGAGGTGGAAGAGGAAGGGGCGGAGGGGGGGAACGGGGAGGGTATAAGGCCCCACCGCTGGGTTCAGGGCCGTTCCGGCTCCGGGAGCAGCGCGGACGGCGGTGGCGAATCTGCGGAAACGAATCGTGAGGGGCCGGCGGCGGGAGCAGCGTTGGATTCGCCGCCGCACTTTCGCCACGCTGGGGGCGGGGGGGTGGGGGGCGAGAGGAAGAGGAGGCGGGAGAGGGAAGGAAGATGCGCGG